TCAAGGAACTTATATCCCTTTTAGACTAAAAGAGAACCAAACTTGCATCCCATCGGGGGAACCAATCCTCCCCGCAGAATGAAGCCTGATTTCCAGCGATGCCTACACATCCATTCAATGGTCGGACTGGGTGATGTCAGTGGGGTGAGTTCTGGATCCTGGGAGCTCAGGGACCAGACTCCGTGCTCCAGGTTTCCAGGCCCGGGAAAGGAGGACAGGAGCAGACATTATTAAAAGGCCCGAAAGTCTAAACAGTGGCTCAAAGATAACAGGAGGCAGGCACGTACGCATCGGCGTACGCGCGGGTTTACTGGGGAAAATACGGTCACGTTCTCATAGCAACCCTGCCCTACCCGGGCAGCGCAGCAGAGCAGGTCGGGAGGAGGCGATGCGACAAAAGTCCGTTCTGTTGTGAGATTCTGAGGGAAGGAGAAGGAGCTGCTAGCCCGACACACTTCCCTTTTGCACAGGGCCACCGGATCCTCCCCTCCCCTGGGCTCGAGACCCCGACTCACCCGAACTCCACCTGCACTGACACGGGGGCCGCCATCTTGGGGAAGACACAGGTAGCGGAAGTATACGCCCACCTGACGTCTCCTCCTTCCGCCCTACCCGGACAGGGAACTAGGCATCGTCCCTGCGAAGCTTCCTTCTTCTCAGCTATTGGTCAGGACCCTCCACGGAGACCCGCCTACTAGGGAGGTAGGGAAGGGGGAGAGCTCCGAAGACTGAAGATCTCAGAATCCTGGAAAACGCGAGCCGGAAGTAACCGTAAAACTTGTTCAGCCCTTTTTTTACAGATGGGGAAAACTGAGCCCCAGAGAGGGAACTGAACTAACGAAGGTCGCAAAACTACTGAGTGGCAAAGATCACAGGCTTTAGAGCCGAAAGTTACTTCTGACTTAAGAGAATGCGAACCTCCACACTCCAAGGCAGAAGCGTCAATTTCTGACTCAGGCCAGGGTTCTCCTTCCTCATGTTGACGCCATCAAATCCTTGGAAATACCTCATTGTAATGGGAGTTCCCTCGTCATTTACTGGACTGGGCGCTCCCCATGAGCTGAGCTTGTGTTCTGCCCCGGACTCTTTTGATTTAGAACACCTTGAATATGCCCATACACACTGTTTCTTTTGTATAGCTTTTATCCCCTTTCCCTTAGTGTTAGTTTCTCCCCTCCTTTTCTTTCCAGGGCTCTGCTTCCTGCTAGCCCGGTCGTCCCTCAATGTCCCCCAGTCAGGATTGCCGCTTAGCATTCTCAGCCCTTCAAGCCAAATTGTCTCCACCCCCCCACCCCCGCACCCCAAACCTCAAGGGGACAAAACGTTTTCCCCTTAGCCTAACCCAAAGCCCTCCCATGTCTGTAGTGATCAGCCAGAAAATACAGTGTGCAGAGCACGCTGCGGGGAAGACAAATCAGAGATTCCAAAAACTAGAACCTGCCAACTTCTCATTTTCTTGGACAGCACAACAATCCTTGCAGGCTTAAAATCTTGTGGTCCTTCGTCTGTTTCCTTACCTTCAAAATGATTGCAAAGGCTCCTTGCCACTCTTAGCATTCTATGTATCAAATGAGATGTTTATGAAGCACTTATAGCACAATGCCTGGTGCATATTAGGTGCTTATTGTTTGTTCCCTCCCCCTTCCCTATATTCTAAGGTTACTTCTAACTAATAATTATTCTATGTTCATTGTTCTAAGGCCTCTTCCAGTTGGGTTCTTCAGTGATCCTATGATCGTACTCTTTTTTCTAATCTATCTCCCTCAGTGTCTAGTGTTCTGTATTCATTCATAGATGCTTAATAAACATCTTGACTAAATTGGATCCAATCAATAAGCAAGTCCTGTCAAATTTTCCTTCATAATCTCTTTCACAAGCACTACCCTAGTACAGTTTCTCATCACCTCTTCCTCACAATGTTTTAATAACTTTCTTACTGGTCTCTTTACTTCCTTTACTCCCTTCAATCCACCCTTCACAGGCAGTCAGATAAATTGTTAAACCTGGCTTTTGTCATGCGTCTTCCTTGCTCAGCAACTCCCTAGGGCAAACAGGATAAAGTAAAAATTCCTCAGTCTGGCATTCAAAGCCCAACTGCATCTAACCCTGCAATGTACAGCTTCCACCTTATTTCAGTCTTATCATGCCCCCTCCATGGGACCTGGAGCATCCTTTTCTTTGCAAAATCCAGGCTGATGAGAGTGCGTTCTTGGTTTGGATCCTGTATGTGTGATTTTAAAGATTATAATTCTTTATTTTATTTTATTTTTTGCAAGGGGGGGAGTGTAAAGTGGGGGTGGTGCAGAGGAGGAGGGACCCCAGAGATTCCCGCAGGAACCGCCTTCAGTTCTTTCTGAAGTATCGAGGAAGACAATAGGAGGGTCGGGAGGGGGCTAGAGGGCTCTGGTGGGGACCACAGTCCGCTGGCCTTTGTCTGAATCCCCCTGGGCTCAGTCCTGAACCCTGTGTGGCTCAGAGAAAAGACGATGGGGGGGGGGGGAGGGGGGGGGGGGAGGGTCAGGGGGAGCTGGAGTCTTTTGCAGGCTTCCTATCCCATTCTTGTGCTAATTGGATGTCAAGCTGAGATCAGTGAGAGGGAAATCAGTCCCAGCGCTCGGGTTAAACTGCAGCCAAAGAACGCTCGGATGGAGAGCGGAATATCATTAGTGCCCGGAGGAGCTTGGCTGGGATGGGGGGTGGGGGGAGGGGGCGGGGAGCCGAGGGGGATGAACGTGGGGCCCCATTGAAAGCAGCTCCCTCCCCTCCGGCTGCCTTCAATAGACCCCTCCGAGGTATTTAACCTTCCCAAGAGTTGAAAGCGATACAGCAAGCGGTGGCTCTGAAGGCCACTTGCCCGGCAGCCTGGGACATCCCGGGGCAGGACCGCAAAGAGCCACTTTTTTTTTTTTTTTTTTTTTTTAAAGAGGAGCGGCCGCGGTTTGATCCCCAGGAAAAATCTACCTCGGGGGCACCGGCCCTACCTGCCTTTCGTAGGGAGAGGGATGGAGGAGGGATCTCAGACCTACCTAGTTCCTGATCCCTTTGAGCATGATTTCTTAAGAAAAGTTACTAGGGTGACTTGTTTCTGGTTTGTCCCCTCCATCCCTAGATGTACCACCTCTACCCTTAACTCTAAAATTAATCTCTGATTAAGGGCCCAGAAGGGTCAATAAATCAGACAATCTAAAAAAGTAGTTTTAAAGTAGCCAGAAGCTACTTTAGAGTTCATCTAGTCTCATTTTACAGTTAGGGAAACTCAGGTTCAAAGAGAAGGGACCTGCCCAGGGTCACTCAACGAGTTGGTGGCAAAGCTGGGACAAAGGCCAAGGCCTCCTGGCAGTCCTGCTTCCATTACACCATACTGCCTTTTGTGGGTATGCCCTTTTTTTGCCACCCCATCAAATTGACTCAGTCTCTTCAGAGAAGAGAGGAGCCTGATGAGATAGGTGTGTGCATGGGTACTTTAGGTGGAGACGGGGCTGGTGTATCCCCAAGAAAACAAATCTTTTTTCTTCTTTACTCACCACAAGGGAAAGAAGGGAGCAACGTGCGTTTTCCATTTTAGAGTGGGGAAAATCAAGTCCTTCCCAGCAGTGACTGTAGTTCTTCAAGAAACAGACCTGGTTGCAGGGCTTCCTCCATCTGGAGGAGGCCAATGAGCTCTCTCATTCCATTTTTAAAGAAGTTAACCCAGCCAGTTTCATAGAACCCTGAAGGTGGGAGGGTCTAGGAACCATATTACCCCAGAATAGAGGTGACTTCATATTTAAAAACAGAGGCCCAGTTCTCTTTCCCCCTCCTCCAATCTTTTCTACTGCTAGTATATCTCCCCTGGTCCATTCTGCACCAACAGAATAAGCAACCCTACCCCCAGAACAGGGGCAGCTAGGTGACACAGTGGATAGAGCACCCAGCTTGAAGTCAGGAAGTTGTTATTCAGTCCATTTTCAGCTGTGTCCGACTTTTTGTGTCCCCGTTTGGGGTTTTCTTGGCAGATACTGGAGTGGTTTGCCATTTCCGTCTCCAGCTCATTTAACAGGTGAAGAAACTGAGGCCAACAGTGTTAAGTGACTTGTCCAGCATCACACAGCTAGGAAGATAAATCTTCCTGACTGAAAGCCCAGCACTCTATCCACTGTGACACCTAGTTGTCCCCAGGGTCAGGAAGAACCAAGTTCAAATCCAGCCTTAGATACTAGCTGTGTGACCATGGGCTAGTCACTTTAACCCTGTTGGCCTCAATTTCCTCATCTGTCAAATGAGCTGGAGAAGGAAATCACAAACTACTCCAGTATCTTTGCCATGAAAATGGGTCATGAAGATTCAGACACACTGAAAAGACAATAAAATCCCTGGGACAGCAGGGTTCAGGCTAGAAGGGATTAATCAGGGCCAGCGTGCCCTCTACTGGCCACTTGGGTTAAGTACAAAAAATCCAGACACCTCTGACAACCCCAACCTAGAACCCCTGGCCCTTTAGTCCACTCTCTCATTTTACAAATGGGGAAACTGAATCCCAGGCTGAAGTATAGTGCCAGGTCAAATGCAGTGCTGAGATTGGAATTCTTGTCACCTGATTTCCAATTTAGGGCTCTTTCCACTACATCAGTCAAGAGAGGCCAAGATCTATAAGGCTCAGGCCACAGGGCCTCCGGTACCCAGTATGGGGTTGGCATGCAGGGAAGTGGCCCGGTTCCAATCTTACTAGAGGGGGCTGGAACAGAGAGACACCCACACTACCTAGCAGGATGTGCCAAATACTAAGTGAGGGGTACTAACACTACTAGCAGCATTCCCAGGAGAGAGAATGTACTGTGGAGAGGATCTGTGCGGGTAGAGGTTCAGGAAAGTCTTCCTGGAGATGGTGAAGGAGGGGGTGGAGCTGAGTCTTAAAGAATGAAGAGCTAGAGAGGTCTGTAGCATGACATGAGCAAAGGTGTGAGCAAGGGAAGCCCAAGGCTGATTCAGGAGATGGTCACTCTCTCAAACATTCACATAAATTAAGTGGGAAGAGGAAGTCAAGTCTGAATTTATTTGCCATAGACACCCCATCCCCATGCTCTCCCACAGAAAGAGGTATGAGCCAGGCCAAGGGGTGTGAGGGAGAAATGGAGACAGAAACACAAACTAATCCTGAGGGGAGGGAGAGGCTGCAGGAGCAGGAGATGGGAAAGGCAGCTCCTGCAACGGAGCCAGCCTCTCCCTCTCTCTGCAATGATCCTGAGAAGCTTTGGAATTATCTACAAGGCCAAAGAAGACCCCACTGAAAAAGCCTTGGCCAAGGAAAGGTAAACAACTGGTGGGTGTGCGGAGGAAGGGGATGGCTGTTCGGCACAACCTAGCTCAGGGCCTGGGCAGGGCTCTGGTGGCTCTTGGAGCTAGCAACTCTTTACTATGGAGAGTGACCCCTTGTAGCTACTACCCTCCTTTGTCTATACCAAAGAAGTCACATAGTAGCTTAGATAGCAGCCATAACTCAAAGAGAAATAGAACCTTTATCCTAAATCCTCTTGGCCAAAAAAAAAAAGGGGGTGAGTAGTTCCTCTGTCCTCTGGTTGTCTTCCTGAATCCAAGGTCCTCACCTCTTGGCAAGGTACAGGGAGTGTGAGACAGCAAGAACCTCAATTAGTGAACTCCCCTCTCAACCTTCTCCCCCTGTGTGCATGCCCCTCCCCCCGCCCCAAGACATCACCCTGAGTGTGCTCAGTCAGTCTCTGCTCTCTGGGGTATGGAGACAAAATGAAGGATTGAACTCATCCTACCCTAAGCCTTCCAGCTCCCCAGACACAAGGCTTTCATGGAAAACCTCTAATGTGGGGGGTAGAGGAAGATGGCAGTAAAGTCACTTGGCAATTTCTGAGCAGAGGTGTCCACTGGCTTCCCTCCCTCCACCCCAGTCAGCATTCTGGAGGAGGGGGAATGGCCCTTACCACTGCCTACTTTGGTCTGACACCATTCCCTGTTCCCCAAGAACCCTCCAGGGGCTCAGCCCCTGACTCAGTCCAGCCCTTGGAGTGGGAGCAGGGATGGAGACAATCACAGCTTCTCTTCCCCAGCCTGGATACGGATATAAGCCTTGGAGTCCAGGGGAAGATAGCGACAGAGCCGGGTGTCCAGGTAGAAAAGGGGGTTCTTCACCAAAGCTGGGTTGAAGCCCTCTTTCCGTAATTCTGTCTTCTGGAATTTGTAGGTCCCTGGAAGGGGTGAGGAAGGGTTGTTAGATAATAAGAGAAAGGGGGACCTGGTTGCTGGGGACAGGAGAGGCCAGAACAGCCTCAGTATTAAAAAAACTGATGGAGTAAGATTAGAGAAATATTTGCCAAGGAAGAAGAAGAAAGAGGTAAGGATCACAGGATCACAGATTTGAAACTAAAAGGGACCTCAGAGGTCATCTCCTCCTCATCTTACAGATAAGGAAACTGAGGCCTTAATTTAAATGACCTGCTCAAGGCCACATGGGTAGTAAGTAGCAGAACTGGGATTTGATCTCAGCTCCTCTAACATTATAATTGAATGATTCAGTATTTGAATGCTGTGAGATCTAGAAGAAAGAGGAGATGGTAAGCGAGGCAGTTGAGGTTGGTGAGGTCTGAGGTAGAAAAGACCCAGGAAAGGTGGGGCTTATAAATGACTTATGGAGAAATCCAGGCTAGAATCCCCGGAAAGAAGAAGGAAGAGGGGGGCCCTCAGCTGTACCTGTTTTATGGAGCTCAGGCAGGAAGCGCAGGAAGATGGGGCGGGCATAGAGTGGGAGTTCCTTCTCCAGTGCTTTGGCAAATTCTGTCAGGTCACAGCTACCTTTGGGGTCCGCTATTGAAGCCATCCCTGCCCGGCCCTCAATACCTGCAGTGCAGAGATGTGTCAGAGGGATGCAGGGCACCTGGGAGGCTTGCCCACAGAGCCCATGTCATTCACCTAAATGTCCAACTGATAAACATCCTGTAAATGACCAATTCAGATGTGATATATATATGCAAAACACTTTGCTAGTCTTAAAGGGCTATATAAATGTTAGCTGTTATGAGGACGCTACTGAATGAGTTGCTTGTTGCAGAGGCCTGACACCTAGTGGCCACTCTGGGTGATACAGGTGGCTGAGCAGGCCCCTCAACTTAACAAACACAATCAACAGAAACTTAAGGGCTGGAACTGACTTCAGGGACCATCTAGGTCAACTAGCGTCATGTGAACTGGCACATGCTATTATTATTATTTTTAATCAAATATTTTGAGTCTCATTCTTAAAAAGTCCGTATTTTAAATAAATTATAATTCATCTGACTTAAGTTCAAATCTAGCCTCAGGCACTTACTTAGCTGAGTGACTTGGGACAAGTCATCTAACCTCTCAGACTCAGCTTAGTCATTTATAAAATGGGGACAATGTGAGTACCTACTGTGGTAGGGAAGGTCATTATGAGGTCAGATGAGATAACACACGTAAAAGGCTTTGCAAAATAAAGCCTGCCTGAATGCTGTTATTATTACCTAGGCGGATAGAGTGCCAGTCCTGGAGTCTGGAAGACCTATCCTTCTACTTTCAAATCTAGTCTCAGACAGTTACTAGCTGTGAGACACTGGGCAAATCACTTAACTTTGTTTGCCTCAGTTTCCTGATCTGTAAGATGAGCTGAAGAAGGGAATGGCAAACTGCTCCAGTATCTTAGCCAAGAAAACCCCGAATGCGTTTGTAAAAAGACGGACACAACTGAACAACAATTATCACCTAGAGCCAAAATATATCCCTGTACCTTTCACCCCTTTATCTTAGTTCTGCCATTCACGGCTAAATAATCTAACTGAGTTATTAACATTTGTTAAGTGTCTGCTGTATGCAGATCCCTGCTAAGCACTGAAAGAAATATAAAGTTTGGGGGCAGCTAGGTGGCGCAGTGGATAGAGCACCCCTGAAGTCAGGAGGACCTGAGTTCAAATCTGGCTTCAGACCAAACACTTGACACTTACTAGCTGTATGACCCTGGGCAAGTCACTTAATCCCAAATTGCCTAAAAACTAAAAAAGAAAAAGAAAAAAAGAAATATAAAGTTTAATAGCCACTGATCTAATGAGAACACTTGGGCTGAAAAAGTGGCATCAAAACATATCCTGGGTATACCTAGAAAAAAGATCCAAGCTGGCCATCCAAGATAAGGGAGCCTAGGCAGGTGCTACCTTCCACAGGAAGCCTTCCGTGATCCCTGTATATACTGACCTGATTACATAGGCTGATAGAGGATCATTGATTTAGAGCTGGGAGAGAGCTTAGAGGCCACTGAGTCCAAATGTTTAGCATTACTGACGAAGAAACTGAGGTCCAGAGGTGTGAGGGACTTAGGTAAGGCCACATACGTAGCAAGTACAGAGCTGGGATTAAATCCCAGGTCCTTAGACCTCTGGAGTCCTTAGACTCCAAATCCAGGTACTCATTTTGTACCACTAGGCCTCTAAGTATTGTATGTCCTCAGAAGAATGTAAATTCCTTGAGGACAGGTATGATTTTTTCATTTTGTCTTTGCCACTTGAGGGGCCTGGGGAGGTAGAAGGGGGTGGATAGAGACAGCCCTGCAGCCAAAAGACCTGGGTTCAAGTCCCACTTCTGAGACCTAGTGGCTGTGAGACCCTGAGGAATTCACTTGACTGCTCAGTGTTCTAGGCAACTTTTTAAGAGGCGGTGCTGACCTGCACTGGTAGAGGGAGTTTTCTCACCTGAGAGTTCCCTATGTGAGAGAGAGCACAGGTTTAGAGTCTAGCCCTAGCCCTATTCCCAACACCTAGCACAGTGCTATACTATATATATATATATACACACACACACACAGTATATGCTTACCCAGTATACAGTAGATGCTTAATTAATGCTTGTTGGATTTGATTCCCACAAAATATGAAAAAATTCAGAGGAAGGAGAATCCATGGAAAGATAAAAGTAAGAATTGCTCAGGATGACAAGGTGTGCACATCATTGAGATTTTGGCCCCATTGAAGTACTGTGGTATGTATGTAGTGCTCTGCCCAAAAAACCATGGCTCCCCACTTACCTGGCACCTCCACACCATACACAGCCACATCAACCATGCCTAAGAGTCGGCTCAGGGTCCCCTCCACTTCTGTAGTGGATACATTCTCTCCTTTCCACCGGAATGTGTCACCTGTTCGGTCCCGGAAATACAGGTAGCCCAATTCATCCATCACCAGCACATCACCTGATGGAAGGAGGAACAGGGCTCAGGGGAGGCCTGGAAGATGGGACTTCGGATTTCCTGCTAGAACCTACCCTGCAATACTAAGAAGCCAGAGGATGGACAGGTGAGGGGGCTATGCTCATGAAAGTCGTGAATTATGGGATTTAGAACTAGAAGAGTCTTCAGAGACCACCCAAGTCCTCATTTTCAGATAGGGAAGCTGAGGATACTGTTTAGGTCAGGGACTATAATTATTATTAATTAATGGTAATAGTAATAAATAGCAATAATATTAATCTCAAAAGGCAGCCATGGTATGTATGGTGGACATACAGCTGGCCTCCGAGTCAGGAAGACCTGGGTTCAAGTCAAGTCTGACCTCTGATGCATATTGCCTGTTTACCCAGGACAAGTCACTTAACCCCTCAGTGGCTTGGGGCAACTCACTAACAAGGCTATACACTTCAGAATAGTTGCAGATTTGCACTGGGAGAGGGAGTTTCCTTACTGGGAGTTCCCCACACCAATAAGATTATAGGTTTGGGGAAAAAAAAACCCAAATGACATTTATGCAGCCAGCACCTTAAGGTCTACAGAGTGCTTTGCTAACAATAGCCTTATGAGATAGGCAGTAACTTTTCATAGGGAGTATTAATATCCTCATTTTATAGATCTTCATTTGAGGGGGGTAATGGACCGAGGCTTTTCCTGTGTCCAGTACCCCAGGAGGCAGAGAATTAGGAATCAGGAAGACCTGGTTCTAAGAACTACCTCTGACTAATGTTAGCTTTGTGATCCCAGGAATTTCCCTTACCTTCTCAGTGCCTGAGGCAAACCTCTAACTGTAAATTACAGAGAGCTGCTGATTTCTCTAACACTTCACCCATGAAGAAGCACAGGTTCGGATTACCCAATTCCTCCTCACCCCCAAAACACACACACAATTATAGCCAGTTCTAAAACCCAGGTCCTCAATACGACTTTGGAAGGGAGGAAATTCATAAAAGGAAGGAAGGAAGGGATGGTCCTGGGAATATGGAGGAAGGGTCTCAAGGGGAAGGCAAGCATGGCGTCAATCCTTTCACTTTCTCTCCCATCCCCAATGATTCAAAAAGAAACTAAAGGAGAAGAAGGGGAGAAGGACAGTAGCATGGCCCAGGGATAATGGAAAGGGGTCCCGACCACTGAGGTAGGCCATGTCTCCCTTCTTGAAGACATCATAGGCAATCTTCTTATCATTGGCGCCAGGATTGATGTATCCATCAAAGCGTCGAAGCGGGTCATGCTGCACGATTCGGCCAACGAGCTGGCCCGGCTCCCCTGGAAATCAAAGCTTAGCTGGGATGCTTTCTCCCACCTGGTGACCTTTCCCCATCTTCTGTTTCTGCTCAAAAACTTTATCTGTCCCCACAAGGCCACCCAGACAACATCCAAACCCCTGCTTAATCCAGCATCTGAGGCTCTTTCCCACTGACTCATCCATCAGCCTGCCTCCTCAGCTTCGTCACCTACTGATCTCTTCTCTATGAGCCCTCAGCTCTAGCCAGGCCACGTCCTCGGCATTCCTCAAGTTTGGCTTCCTCACCCCACCTAGAAGACCTCCTGGTCTGATTGTTCATGACCCCTTTTGGGATTTTCTTGGCAAAGATACTAGAGTGGTTGCATTTCCTTCTCTAGCTCATTTTACAGATGAGGAAACTGAAGCAAATAGGGTTAAGTGTTAAGTGACTTGCCCAGGGTCACACAGCAAGTAAGTGTCTGAGGCCACATTTGAACTCAGGAAGATGAGTCTTCCTGACTCCAGGCCCGGCACGCTATCCACTGTGCCACCTAGCTGTTCATCTCTATCTATACTATATAATTATATTGATATCTATCTCGAGCTGTACTATATCTATTTAGATAGAAACATAGAGAGTGGTGGATGGATGGGTAGGAAGATAAGGAGATAGATATGGATGAATGGTTAGATAGAGATGAATGGTTGGTAGGGGCAGCTAAGTGATGCAGTAGATAGAGCACCGGCCCTGGAGTCAGTAGGATCTGAGTTCAAATATGGCCTCAGACACATGATACTCATTAGCTGTATGACCCTGGGCAAGTCACTTAACCCCGATTGCCTCGGAAAAAAATAAAAGAGAGAGATGAATAGTTGGATGGCTGGGTAGACTGAGAGAGAGGTATAGATGTATGGTGGAATAGACAGGGGGATCGATAAATATGAATACAGAGGGATCAACAGATATGGATGGAGAGAGAAAGATGGATGGACAGTTGGATAGAGATCAATGGATAGATAGATATGGCTGGAGAGAGAAAAAGAAAGAAAGAGAAAGAGAGAGGGTAGTGTGGTATAATAGATACAGAGCTAGCCTTGCAAGTCAGGAAGATATGGGTCCACAATCTGCCTGTTCACATCCTAGCTGGTCAGGGATAAATCACGTAACCTCTTAGTGACTTAAGAAATTTTCTAAGAGTATAAGTTACAGAGTAGTTGTCAAGCTGCATTGGAAGGAGTCATTTCCACACCAGGATTTCCCTATACCAATGAAATCACGTCTGGACAAAATTTGTGTGTGTGTGTGTGTGTGTGTGTGTAGGAATCTTCCATCTCCCCCTTCCTCTGTAAGTGCAGGGGCTATCCCTTTTATATCCCATAGAGCATAAGTGTTAAACTCAAGGCAAACCAAGTTAAAATGTAATTGGGAAATGTTTAACGAAACAAATAAAAACATAATAAAGCATGGATAATATTAATCTGTGGTTTTCCATGCACCTGCAGGAATCTTATTCTATTTGACCTTGACGCCACTGGCCTAGAGAATTTACAGTTTGTGGTAGTGTTCAGTCTAACATCATTTAGACCTGGAAGGCACCTCAATAACCATCCAATCCAACCCCGAAGGCAGGCACCTGAGGCCCTGGGAGAAGGCAGGAATCCAGGACTGGCTAACTCGAGATCTAGCACGGCACGCTTGCTGAGGTCCCACTGGAATGGTTTCCTGCCCCAGGCCCTCACTAGCCAATCCCTCTGTCTACAGGGTAATTTCCTTCAGGTTTCCCACCCCCACTCCCACCTCCACTCCCACTACCATCCATCTTTCAGGACAGACCTGGACCACAGGGAAGGCAGATGCCATTGTTATCCCTGATCAACTCCATGGTGTCCTCGTTCACCTGCACGAGCCGGATGGGATAGACAAAAGATATGATGCGGCTGTTGAAGCCACAGGCCCCCACCTGTGAAGGCCAGGAAATAAGAACCCTGATTTAGAGATGCCAACCATTCCCCCGTGACTCCTTCCCTCATCTTATCCCCCAGGTGGGTCCCAGGATTCTCTGGTGGACTTCTCTATTCTGAGAAGTGTAGATGCTTCTCCTTGGGACTGATACTCTATTTTGCGCCACCCCATTTGATGGGCCCCCAACTATGTGATGACCACTCCCCTCCAGGCCCTTTGCCCAATCTTCCATCTTTCCCAGTATCTGACCAAGTGTGTACCCAAATCCTCTCCCTAAGAGTCTCTGACCTGGCTATCAAAGTTGCCCACGCTGCAGTTGCATTCAGTGGCCCCATAGAACTCGGCCACCTGAGGGATGTGGAAACGATTGATGAATTCGGTCCAGATAGACTGCCGAAGCCCATTGCCTAGGGCCATGCGCACTGAGTGCTGGGTCTCCACTTCTCTTGGAGGTTGGTTCAGAAGGTAGCGACAGAGCTCTCCAATATACTGGACAATCTGGGGGCAGGGATAGGGAGGAGGTGAGACAGGTTGAAGCATCAGTCCTGGGACCATTCCCCTTGCTCCCTGAGGCCCTTCTTCCCCTCTACCCTATGGCCACTGACTCAAAGAATGTCAGAACTGGAAGAGTCCACCTAATTCAAATTCCTGTTTTTACACAATAGGAAACCGAGACCCAGGGAGGGGAAGCCACCCTTGTCAGACCACACAAATAAGCTGGTGGCAGAGTTGGGACTAGATTCCAATGCTCCTAATACTATATTTCTTTCTTTTCAGTTACATATAGCTTTTTTTTTAATGCATATAAAATTTAACAATAATATTAAAATTTTCTTTTGTGACTTTTTTTGAACTTTTCTTCTCTTATTTTAAAAATGTTTTATTAATGTTCTTTTCTTCTTTTTTTTTTTAAGCATCTCTATCACTGCCCACTAACTCACCTCTCCACCCAGTCATGCTCCAGATAAATCCTCCCTTGTACACAAACAAGGATGGCTCGACAAAACTAATAAACAGCCAGAGTTCCTTCCAAACCATCATGCTACCTCCCCACACCATGATTACTGAATCCTCTTCCCAGAGGTGCTCCAGAGACTTCATCCTCTTTTTTCAAAGTCTTGTCTTCCCCACTGGACTGTTAGTTTCTTCAAGGGTCAATTCTCTAACTCCCAGACACTTCCTAGTATGGGTGCCAGCATAGGAAAGCTCCTTAATAAATATATGGAGGTGGAATGATTTCCTCATCTGAAAAATGAGTAGGCTAAGTCCTACCTACTCTACCCTCACAGAACATTATAGGGATCAAATGGGGCAATTAGATGAAAAGTACTTTGAAAAGAGCTGTCACCAGAGGAACACAAAGGGCCTTTCCGGACTAGTGGTTATTTTTGGGTCCAGCTCCTAACACCCACGGCTGACAGTTCCTCTCTCTCTGTCTCTCTCTATCTCTTTCTCTCGGTTCTCTGTCTCTCTCCACCCCACCCTTTCTCTCCCTACCCCCCCAAGTCTTCTATTCCCACCCTCCACCCTTTCCCCACCAAGGTCTCCTGCTGCTGTGCTCACCGTACAGTTATACTTGATGCAGTCATCCCAGAATCGAGAGGCAGAGAATTTCTTTCGGATCACCACAGTCATCCCGTGTAGCAGACACTGTCCAACCCCCACAATGTTACCTGGTAGGTGCAGGGGGAGCCCAGGGTGAATGGGGGGGTGGGGGGGGAGTAAAAGAAAGCTACCCAAAGGCTCCAGAAAAGTCCCCTTCTCTCCCAGGCTCAGAAGACAGAGGACCAGCCCCAGGCAAGGGAGATTCCATCCATCCACCCCTACTCCCACTCCTTTCATGAGAGCCAAAAGATGAGAGAGCAAAAGGACCTGCCCTAAGTGGGTCCCTAGGAGTCTAAGGTTACCTGCTGAGTGGTAAAGGGGGAGGCAGTCATATACAATGTCGCTAGAACGCATTCGGAAGCCATAGTAGACCAGGGCAGCCATCCGGTAATACCTGGGACAAGCCAGGGCCAGTAGAGGGAGAGATTGGACACCTGGCAGAACCTGGGTTCCCTTCCTGCCTTCCCTGGGCACCACCCTAACCTCCTCACCTGCTGTGCACCACGATGGCGGCTTTGGGCATTCCCGTGGTACCGGATGTGTAGATGTAGAAAAGCTTGTCTGGGGGAAGCAGAACACAAACGGTTGGCCCGAGTTAGGTGAACGTGAGAGAACTGGGCTGGGGAGGGGGAGCACAGCTGCTGTCCTAAGTGGATACAGGGGATGAGAGCCAAGCCAGGAAGGCAGAGGAGAGAAGTGAAATGGACTCTTCCTCTATACCTATTCGAATCCTACTGGCCCTTGAAGACCCAGAGTCCACCTAACTCCATGGAGTCTTCGTCCCTGACCACCAGAGCTCAAAGTAACCTCTTCTCTGAACTCCAGCTCCATTTAGTGCCTATGCCCCTCACTCGGCAATAATCATGTGTAGGCTTTTGCTGCCAGACATATATATGTCTTCTCTCTTCAGGTGATTGCCCAAAGGACAGGGGACATTTCTTAAACTTTTTTTCCTGAAGCTTTGTGTATACCTAGCACCTTCACAGGTACCATGAGGGGAATCATGGGAACCTACAGTCCCTGCCTTCAAGTAGTTTATAATGTGGTTGAGGAGACAAGACAGAGGCACGTGAAAAGTTACATTATTCAAGAGATTTTACAAGGCAGAATGGGGTAAGTGCCCAGTGAGGGGTTAAGCCAGTATGTACTGAATGATTTGAGAGAAAGGAGTGATCAGGGCAGGTTTCACAGAGGAGAGGGTCAGAGAGGTACATTAGAAAGAGCCTGGACCAATTCCAGAGGACTTATAATAAAACATGTTACCTATCTCCTGATAGAGAGGTGAAAGCTCAGAGTGCAGATCAGGGTCTATTCTTCTTTTCTTTTGGACATAACCAATGTGGTTGTGTCCAAATCCAATTATGGCCAAATTCCAATGTGGGAGTTTGTTTTGCTTAACTACACATATTTGTAATGGGTTTTTTTCTTGTTTTTTTTTTTTTTCAATGGGATTGAGGGGAGAGGAGCAAGGTGATGGGAAAAGAAATCAGATGAAAATAAAATAAAGTTGGAAGGGCAGAAAGAAAAGAGGGAAGGAAAGCAAGAAAGAAAGAAAGAGAAGGAAGAAGAAAGGAAGGAAGGATAGAAGAAGGAAGGAAGAGAAAAGAAGAAAGGTGAAAGGAAGAAGAAAAGAAGAAAGAAAGAGAAAGGAAGGAAAGGGAAAGAGAAGGAAAAAAAGAAAGGAAGGAGAAAAAGAAAAAAGAGGGGGAGGGAGAAAGGAAGGAAGAAGAAAGGAAGGAAAGAGAGAAAGGAAGGAAGAAGAAAGGAAAGAAAGAGAAAGAGGAAGGTAAAAGAAAGGAAGGAGAAAAAGAAAGAGAGGGGAAGGGAGAAAGGAAGGAAAGAGAAAGAGAGGAAAGAAGAAAAAGATAGAGGGGGAGGGAGAGAGGAAAGAATGAAGAAAGAGAAAGGAAGGAAGAAAAAGAAAAGAAAGAAGGAAAGAAAGAAAGAGAAAGCAAGCTTGGACTCAAGAATCAGCCAGGCACACAATAAGGACCTGTTCAATAAATTAACGAATGGTGAGCCAACAGAGAGGTAGCCCTGAGCCAAGCTTTCTCCCTTGTCCAATGGCAGGGATCATACCAGTGAAGCCTTTGTCTGGTTGATTGGGCAGGCTCTTGGGGGATTCCTCCAGAAGGGGTTCCAGGTGTTCAGCTCCTGCTGGCACAGAGCTGGGGTCCCAGTCTCCTGAGCAGAGGAGACTCAAGGAGGAGTCCAGAGTGCTGTGGATTTCACAGACAGCTAGGAGGAAAGAGGTGATAGGAAGCAGTTAGCATTTTGGGAAGCTCCCTTGCAGAAGGCCCAGGGATGGGCGGGGCCCACGTCACTCCCTCAAGAGCAAGCCTGCTACTCTCAGGGACCTATGATCTTTGACCTCTGCATGCTGGGCACAGTACCAGAAGGAATACTATGGGGCCAGGGCTTCTAGCACCTGGAGGTATGGGTGAGCTTCTCTAGGACATTTCTAGGGTGGGGTAGAAGTTTTTTGGTAGGGAAATGGTGGAGGTGAGGGGTAATAGAGGTATGGAAACCAGGGATCAGCAATGAACAGCTCCTTCCCACATCTGGAAAAACAGAAGCAATTCCTCTAGGTCAATGCTTGAATGCAACCTGGTATAAACTAATTTTGGCTTTCTCAGTTCTATTCCCACCCTCCTCATTCCCTCAGACTCTCTCCTTTCTACTCAAAGAGCATTCAATCAGGAAACCAAAGCCCTGAGTTCTAATTCACTTTCTACATAAAAAGAGATGTGTGACTTGGGCAAACAAACAACTGGTGATTTCTTGTCCTCAATTTTCTTTTCTATAAAATTAAGGATTTGCTTTACAGATCTTCAAGTCCCTTCTAACTCTGCCCTTCTGTGTTCTAACATCTCTCCTTCCTATACTCCCATCCTCCTATCTCTATTCTTGGGCCCCAGACATGGCTCCTAATACTCACCAGAAGACAGCTCGCTGCCAAAGATGAGGATGCGGGCCTGAGAGGTAGTCAGGCAGTGGCGAAGGGCATCCCGCCGCAGATTAGTGTTGATGAGGGCTGCCTCCACCCCCAGCTTGGCCATGCCCAGCCAGAGCCCCACGAACTCATTTCGGTTCTCCATGAAGAGAGCCACCACATCACCAGAAGCCAGGCCCCGTCCTTGCAACAGGTTGCCAACTGCACTGGAGTAGGTGTCCAGCTGGTGGAAAGTCCAGTGGGTATTCGTGCCTTCGAATATCAGGGCTGTCTTGTCTGGGTGGCGCTTCAGGATGGAAGCAAAGATTGTAGGTACTGTCTGGCGCTCCCAGAGGTATTTCCTCACCTTCCGCTTTACCTTCAACAGGACAATCCCCGCACTGCCAAGGGAAAGGAGGAGGTCCCTTCAGGAATGTGTCCTACACCCACATCAATTTCATGCCACTTGTTTTAAGTATATAATTCTATACTTTCATTTTCAAAACAGTTCTGCTTGTCATGATTACTAGTCGAACTTCCCTTGAGTGAATGCGAAATATTACAATGGCCCTTTAAGACATCATTATTACTATTATTAATTAATACTAACTCCACCTTCCATTAACCTCCCTTTCTTCCTCCCAATTAAAAACATAAAAAGGGGTGGGTGGAGTGAGTGGAGAGTTGTACACAATTAAAATTAATCTACACTGTGGCCCCGTCTAAAAATGTATGCTCCCTTTTCCATCTTGTGCCCATCCCTTCTGTCTGAAGAAGGGCAACACCTCTATAGTATTTTCCAGGACTTCTAGAGACTTCTGGAGACAAGTTGTTCAATTGTATTCAATAGTTTCAAAGTTGTTTCTCTTTACATTGTTGTCGTACCACTCAAAATTCTTCTGATTCTGCTTATTTCACTTTGCATCAGTTCATACTACCCAGGATTCTATGAAATCATCTCTCATCATTTCCTTTCTAGATTTCTCTGAACTCATGTGTTTGTATTCCAAACTTCCTACTTGGCTCTGGTCTTTCCATCAAAAATTCTTCAAAATCTTCTATTGCGTTAAATGTCCATTTTTTCCCACATAGGATTATGCCAGGATTTGCAGGGTGGCTTATTCTTGGTTGTAAGCCCATCTCTTTTGCCTTTCTAATACCCTCTGGGTATTAGCATCCTGGTCTCAGGACTCACTAGCCTGATCCCATGCCAAAGCAATCACATGCCTGCTTGAGGACAGTGCCAAACCTACATAAGGTAGGTGCTCTATTTAGGGGGCAAAGTTTCTTTCTAATGCTTTCATGCTCCTATATAGAAGAGAGGCCCTCTTGGAGTTGGGTTTCTTAGTATCTATTTCAAGGAGAACTCAGTCTGGCACCTCTTTCCATCTGGTATTATGTGCTTAGAAAATACGTCCCTTGAGGACAGGGACTGTCTCACTTTTGTACTTGTAGTCCCAGGACTTAGCAAAGTTCCAGGGAACAAAGTAGGTGCATAATAAGTGTTTGTTGATTGATGGTAGGTACATAATAAATGCTTATTGATTGATTGATTGATTTCTTTCTTTTCTTTTTTTTTTTTTTTTTTGAGGCAATCAGGGTTAAGTGATTTGCCGAGGGTCACATAGCTAGTAAGTGTCTGAGGGCAAATTTCAACGCAGGTCCTCTTGACTCGAGAGCCAGTGCTCTATCCACTGTGCCACCTAACTGCCCCACTTGATTGATTTCTTTCCCCAGCCTTCTCACAGCCATTTCCTGATTGGGCCAGCACAGACCTGATGTTACTCTGCCAATCTTACAGTAAACCACACATTCCTACAGTACTACTCTTGGCATGAACCAGTCCTGCTGTGCCACAATCCAGCCTGGCCTCCATGGCAGCCTTTACCCTTTTAGATTATGTCTGCCTAACACCAGCCCAAACTCTTAGCACTGGTGTCAAGCTGGTTCTAGTCTGTCCCTGCTACTACCAGCTGTCTCCAGCCTAGACAAAGCCTCCCACAGGCAGATATATAGCCATGATATCCTCCTGGAGGACGACTATAGAAAGGAAGGAAATGCTGTTTTCAAGGCTGGTTGTCGATCCCCCACCACCACCACCCAGGGCAACCCCAGCAATTACCCATCCCCTGATCCCCAGAGCAACCAGGACTGAGGGCTCAGAAATCTGAAGTCAAGGAGATTGCCTGGGCAGGGTATTTTGATCTTTGGGCTTCCAATACCAAAAGGGACATGGGAAAGCAGGGAGGAGTGGAGAACAACTTTTTTATATTGTGGGGAAAGGTAAGCTTATTGTCCTGGGAGGCAAGGGGGAAGTCTCTAGAGGAGACTGTTACCATAGGAACCCAGAGGTAGAACCATAGGTGTTGGGTCAAAAGAGCAGGTACTCACAAGATATCACGCCCAAGAGTCTTCCAAATGATCCTGATGAACCTCCAGCCCCCAAAGGCAAGGTAGAAACAGAGCACAGAGAGGCCCACCTGTGTCCATGGCAGCTGCAGCACCAGCCTGGAGAGCACAGCTACCCCCACCAGGGATACCTTGGACAGCATCCTGGCCTGTAGGGCATCAGAGCTGGTCACAGGCTGAAGGCTTGGGAGCCTGGCTTCTTCTCTCCCCCTCTTCCACCTCTTTGGTTGGGTACCCTGGTCTCCTCAGAGTAAGGCAGTTCTATCTTCCCCAAGAATCCTTCTCCCCAGGAGTGCAGGCCACTGGGCAGAATGTCCAGTGACTCAGACTACTGCTCTTCCCTCGCTTTCTCTCTCTTCCACTTTGAGTAAATGCCTTTTAGGTAAGCCCCAATATTTTCTGATGTAATTTAGGGGTGGGGGTTGAGGAACAAGAATCATTTCAGGCATGGGATGCAGGAAGGAAGAGGCAGGGCTAGGAGGGAAGTTTCTAGGGTTTAGCTCTATTTTGTGATGGGGTGGGGGAGCAAGATGGCAAAGAAAAAGGAACCAGGTTATGAATCAGGGGCTGGGGTTCTAGCACCCAACCTGCCATTAATGAGTTGCGTGACCTTGACAACCTTAATTAGAGTATTTGGGCCTCCATTCACTCTTCTGTGAAGTGGAGGGAGTAAGGTGGGACTAGATAATCTTTGAGGTCCCTGCTAGCAGTTTATTGGTGTGGGGAGAGGGGTTAGGGGAGGTAGCTCAAATGGGGAGCTTTTTCATGCCTTTTCATCCTTTTCAGACCAGAGGCTATCTCCTTGAATAAGAAAGGAAGGCCCAGATGGAACCAGGATTGCAATAAAGGAAAGTTCAGAAAGGAATCTGAGTCTCAGACTCCACCTTCTGCCCATCAAGAGCTCCTTCTTAAGCAACATCAGATAACTGGGTGCCTCCTAGTTCCACTGTCCCACACACAGTAAAGTCACAAGGGGATGTGCTCCTCCTTCCAGCTTCTGGCCCTTACCGGGACATGGGGAGGTCAAAAGCTCAGTCTCCGAGCCCTGTGGCTTGGGCAGCTTCCTGGAAAGGGGGGAGTCCAGGCAAGGAAGCAAGGTGGGTGGGATGTGAGGTGTCTCCAAAGGGCACAGTGCCCTAGATTGACCACTAGAGGGCAGAGAGAAGCAGTTAGGACTAGAGTCCTGTGGGGACACTGAGGAAGTGACATAAAGATCCAGGCCTGTCAGAGTGGTTTCTGATAGCAGATCTGAAGCCTGAAGGGGTGGACCAGACAGTGGGAAAAACCCACCCAATTCTATATTAGCTCAATAAGTCTTCATGGCCAGAATTACTCTGGAAAGAGACCTTTGGGACTGGGTGTTCCTACCATGTTGATCTCAGAGGCAGGATCATATTCTCTGGCTGGTCATCCACAGTTAGGACTCCTGGTTTCCAATCTTGCCCTGTCATAGACTTGCTGGGAAAGGTTATGGTGGCAAAAGGGGCACTGTTTCCCTGTGCCCCCTCCCCAAAAGAGTCATCTCTACCCTAGGAAATATTGATGGGCAGATATGCATGGCGAGGTGAGGTCCTCAAAACTAGGTACCAAACCATTCCAGGTCTTGGCAGGGCTGTAGACTGTGTTAATGGACAAAGATACTTAAGAGGTCCTTAAAGACTGTCCTCCAAATACTACCACCTGTCCCTAAAATGTTGCTTCTTCAGAAAAACTGCCCTCAGCCCAGTCGGGGTGGGGTGGGATGAAAGCTTCTTGGGTCTGATTATCTGTTCCCTTCCCCATCAGGAAGCAAGAACAGCCCTGGGGTAAGGGAATAGGGGTTCTGGGGAAGGGCTGGTCATCCCTGTCCCAGGTCCTGGCAGGGCCTGTGGTGGGGTGGGGCGAGCAGCCCTTACTCCCAGGTCTAGGGGCCTGGAAGGAGGAAGCTAGAAACCTGGGCTACGCAATTCAGCAGATCGAGGAGGCTGAAAAGCACTCAGACAGACAGACAGACAGACAGACAGACTGCGAAGTTAAAGGATCCCCCGGCTCTGCAAATGGCCCCGCCCTACACCCACCCTTCCTCCTTGGCTCAGGCCGATGGCCAACACCCATCCCGGGGCCCTGGTCGGCTCACCCCCAACCCCGGCATCCCTGGAGAACGGAGGAGGCCTAGGGGCCATCCGAGGGGCGACGGTCCCCCGGGCCGCAGGGCAGTCAGCGCGGCTCCATGAGAGGAGCTCAGGTTTGCTGCGCACAGGTGGAGCCGGACGCCACCCAACACCTCCGGTCCTCCCCTCCAGGTCACTCGCAGCGGGCACCAAACTCACCCCCGGTTTCGTCCCCGCCCAGCTGCGCCCCGGTGCCCCAGCGCGACCTCCCGCGCGTTCCAGAGGTGGCCCAGCCGCAGGCGGGGAGCTGGCGCGGATCTCGGGAGCGGGGAGCCAGGCTGAGCCCCGAGCTTGAGCTAGGCTTTGGGCTGCGGCTCGCGGACTTTGCCGGGCTCCTCCCGCTTGTCCTCCTCCTCTTTTTCCCCCCTCCTCCGCCCCCACCTGCACCGCCCACCTCCAGTATACAAACCGGCTCCGCCGGGCTTGGCCGCACCTCCTGCTCCTCCTCCTCCCCCCGCTCCCCGCGGCTGCAGCCGCCGCAGCAACGCGGATAGCCCTGCAAAGCAGACGGGGAAACTGACTCGCACCTCGCCATGCGCAAGGGCGCGAGCAGCCCTAGAGCTCGCGCGCTCCGGTCTAGATGCTGCGGTGCACGCTGGGAGTTGTAGTCCTCTCCCCACAGTCCTCTCCTCCCTTCCCCTTACTTCCCGGCGTTGGGCTCAGACGGGACGAATTCCTTTGAGCAACCCAGGACCCAATTCCCTGGGATCTCGGGGTGGCCACTTTGATGCTGCCCACCACCCGGGGCGGAGAGGAAGAAGCACCATGCTTCCTCTTCCCCTCCTCCCAAATTTGATCCGCATGGTTAGCTCTCCTGGGAGAGTCCAAAGTCGGGACTTAAGCCCGCGATATACGGGATAAAGTTTTGCAAACTTTGGAAGCGGGTGCTGGGGGCATTCCCAGCTGGGCTCAGCACCCCCAGACACTGACAAAAATAACAAGGAGCTTGAAGAGAGGGGAAGTGAAAAGGTTGGTCAGGATGTAGGGTGAAAAAGTGCGTACTCTCAACGGGCAGGCTCTGTGGCGCAATGGATAGCGCATTGGACTTCTAGCTCTGTGACTTGTGAGGTCATTCAAAGGTTGTGGGTTCGAGTCCCACCAGAGTCGCATTTTGAAAAGTACTTTCCGCTGCCGGGAACGTTTTAAAAGTCTTTGGAAGTTCTGTTGTAAATGTGGCAGAACCCTTGAAGAGCAAATTTTGAAAGACTAGGTCACCGGACACCCTGGAACTAATGGAAAAGCATCGGGCACTGCAGAAAACAGCCGACGGCCAACTTTGTCCTGAGATCTCCAGAGGGCGCACCTATTCGTGCAAAGTCTGTACTTTGAGATAGCAGCGTGATGTGGTGGAAATGATACCGTACTTGGCTCTGCAACTAAAAAGTCAACTCTGTGCCTCAGATTTCCTCTCTGTCAAAGAGAGAATTGAGCAAAGGTTACTTCCAAGCTCTAAACTTTATAGTCTCGAATCTCTTTACTGACTTGCATTCCTTCTTGGTTTCCTTCCTCCTGGAAAGCAGGAAACAATAATAGTAATTCACATGTACATAGTGCATTGAAAGCATTGCCCTCAAAACAGCCCATTTTACTGATTAGGAAATAATCTCTGAGAGGTTAAGGGAAGATCACCCTCACAATCAGTAAGCCTGATTTGAACCCAGGTGTCTGGCTCAAGTCCAGCACTCTATCCACTATATACTACTTCTCATCTCCTTTCCTATAGTTGAGGCAGCATGGTGCTATGGAAAGAAAATAACTAGCATTTATATGGCCCCTATAAGCACTTTACAAATATATTATCTCCTCTGTCCAGAAACGTCTAAATCCTCTGGACTTTCTCTGTAATAAACTTATCCTGATACTAAAATATATATATATATATATATATATATGTGTATATATATATATATATACACATATATATATAATCTCATTTGATCCTCCTAACTTTTCTAGGAGGCAGGTACTCTTATTATCTCCATTTTACAGTTGAGGAAACTGGCTCAGAGGTTAAGTGACTTGTCCAAGGTCACATAGCTAGTAAGTGGCTGGATATGGATTTCAGCTAAGGTCTTCCTGATTCCCAGACCCAGCACATTATCCACAGCGCCACCCAGCCTCCCCATAGTGTACTTAACTTTGGAATCAGAGCCTGTGAGTTTGATATTTACTATGAACCTTTGGGCAAGTCATTTAACTTCTCTTGGCATGAGTTTCCTCATGGAAATGAATCCTGACCCTGACATTCACTATCACTATGACTTTAGATGAGTCACTCTTTAGGCCCTTTAGGCCTTGGTTTCCTCCTCTGTAAAATAATGGAGCTGGTCCTTAGCTGGATCTAAGGTCCCCAATGAAGTTCTAAATCTATGGTCCTCCTAGGAGATGGAAACATTTAATAAATTTCATCTTATTTTTCCACTTGCTGCCTGATTAAAAAAAAAAAAGTAAAATAAGGCACAAAGACCTTGACTTAACCCAGGTTAGAACACTTAGGCAGCCTTGCTTCCAGGCATAGCACCAGCAAGTCTTATCTTTGGAAGAAACGTTGAAGATCAAGTCCAACCTTCCACCCAGAGCAGGGATTAACTTTACCACATCTCCACAGGTGTTTAGTTAGCCTTTGTGCAGACATTTCTAGTGACCCAAAGATAACAACAAAGCAACCCGTTCCATTGTGGGATAGTACTGATTTCATCTTGGCATGAGATCTGCCTCCCTAGTAACTTCTACACCCATTGGGGGCAGTTCTCTCCCCTGGACCTACATAGGATAAGCCCCGAACTCTCTTTTATTTGACTTTTCTTTATCTATTTGAAGATAACAATTTCCCCTACCCCTACCCCCTGCCTAGTCCACTCAAGCATAAACATCCTCCCGGCTTTAAAGCATTCTTCAGATGGTATGGTTTCTGGACCTTTCATGTATATCATTCTTATCTGAATATGCTCCAGGTTTCTAATCTCCTTCTCAAAATGTGGTCCCAAACACAGGACACAATACTCCGGAAGTGGTCTGATCAGGGGAGACTGAAGGGCACTGCCTTTGATCATATTCTAGGAATTTTGCTTAGGATCATACATTAACTTTGTTTGTTTGCTTACACAAGTCTTCCATTGGTTCCATCAGACCAGTGCTTGGATGACTTGGTTGTTTGAAGGGGGACATCTGGCTAACTATTCTCTGAGTCACAATGAGCTAGTGCAAGCAAAAAAAGATGTACAAAATGCTATGAGAGTTTGGAAGGAAAAATCACTTCTAGCTGGAGTGACCAGATGGGTCTTGAAGGATAGGCAGGGATTTGACAGGTGGAACTGGATAAGGAAGTCCATTCCAAGAACTGTCTGTATTAACAAAGACATAATGGTGAGAAACCAGAGGGCTGTTCAGGGAACAGTGAGTGGTCCAGTTTGACTGGAGTATGGGGCTGCCAGACTGATACAAACTAGTGAGATATTGGGCTAGAAAAGTAGGTTGGAGCCAAATCTTGGAGGACCTGGAATGCCAGGCTGAGAGATTTTTAGGAGGGAGACATTGAAAATTTCTAAACAAAGGGGTAATATGGCAAAACTATACTTTAGCAAGATTAATCTTCCAAAATGCTAGCACGTTCTTATCTTCAGCTCTTTTTTTGGGGGGGGGTGAGGCAATTGGGGTTAAGTGACTTGCCTAGAGTCACCTAGTTAGAGTGTCATGTGTCTGAGACCAGATTTGAACTCAGGTCTTCCTAACTCCAGAGCCTGTGCTCTATGCCCTGCACCACCAACCACAGACCAACTTCAGGAATGTCCACACACATCTAACAACAGAGAAAAATATACTATAGCAGTGAACCCCAACCTCCATTCTATTGTCCCTTATTAGCTTTGCTTTTTTTCTTTCTTTTTTTGTTAGGCAATGGGGTTAAGTGAGTTGCTCAGGGTCACCCAGCTAATAAGTGTCAAGTGTCTGAGATCAGATTTGAACTCAGGTCCTCCTGACACCAAGGCCTGAGCTCTATCCACTGCACCACCAAGCTCTTTTTAAATACACTCCTCAGCCACCAATGCTTATTAGAGTACTTCCTCAGGACAGACATTTTGCAGCTTCCAAGATGACACCTTATCTCATATAGGCTCTGTTTTACATTGATGTCTTTCTGTTTAGGAAACCCCCTAATCTTAGCAGCCTATTTTCAGCATATTTCTTATGTTGGGATATTTCTGCAGATGACTGATCTTATTCAGTTATTATTATTATTTTTTTTTGCTTCAGTTTCAGAAGGTCTTTCCTATCTTTCCCAAATTCTGGGAAGGCACCTTGTTTGGCCCCTCCAGATCACCTATGCACTGAATGCCAATATGCTGTCCAATCATATACTTTTTACAAGTTTACTTGTAGGGGTATTGGTGGCACAGTAGGTAGAGCACCAGCTTTGGAGTCAGGAGGATCTGAGTTCTAAACCTGACCTTAGACACTACTAGCTATGTAACCCTAGGCAAGTCATTTAACTCTCATTGCCTTAAAAAAAAAACTTACAAAAATGATAGCTCACATATGTATAGGACTTTGTTTATAAAATACTTTCCTCACAACTGTGAGATAGGTAGTGCATTATTATCCTCATTTTGCAAATGAGAAAACTAAGGCTCAGAAAAAAAAAAGAAGTGATTTGCAGTGACCTACCTAGGGTCACACAGGTACTCTATGTCAGAGCCAGGTCCAGTTTTTTGACTTCATCATGATGTCTCTAAAAAGTACTCTTCAGGGTTCTAGCATTTGTCACTCTGCCAATACATACTGATATAATAATAATCCATAATCCTCTCACTTAGGACTCTACAAAGGAAATAACAT